GAACTTCATCTCTTCTGCAACTTCTTATCCGTAACTACTCCTTACTGCTTCTTCTTTCTTCGAGACTCTTTCTTCTTATTTCTAAATATTGGGGTCTTGTGTTTCTCATATATATGTGTGTATATGTTTGTGCTTTGAAGAACATTTTTAACCCTGTGGCTATTGTTTAAATACCAATTTCACTATGATTGAGTTGATTTCCAGCGTTAGTTTCGGAGTAACCATAACATGACGGCGGAGTAGTTGCGATATTTCCTTTACCGTTTCCAATGTTCGGTCGATAACCCCACCTTCTTTACAAACAAGACTTAGTCTCTAAATTTCTAGCCACCCGCTTGAATAACTGGTGGGGGCTGGGGGGTGGGGAAACAACTTGCTAATTCCATTCATGTGCTTCCAAACATAACGTCAAAAAGCTTAAGGCATACTATTACCTCAATTCAGGAATAGTCTAGAGGCATCTCAATGACCCCCTTAATTTGAATATATTATTATTAGCCGCCAATGTGGACTCAAAGCTATTTATGACTTTGCACATCCCCTCGTTTTCTTATCATCCCAAATACACTCTTTTGTCCTTTAAAATGTTAAACGTACTACTCATATGATACTAGCCTTATGTTTGGTATGAAGGAAATGGAAAGAAAGAGAGAGGAGGAAAAATTTTTATGAGTTCAATTTAAAAAATTAAAAAAAGGGATTATAAATTTTAATAAAGAAAAATGTAAAACTAAAGAGTAATAAAAATTAATTAAAAGCTTTTAACCCCACTTGGTCATATCTAGTTAAATCAATATAATGACCTGTGCACAAGCTAGTTTCGTTACTCCACCAACGGATTAGCTACAGAATTAATGAAACAGCCAATATGGTACAGAATCAATGATATATTACTCCTCCGGTCCTTAATATAATACCCATTTAACTAATTTGATTAGATTAAAGAAGTTAGGTAAGTTAGTTAATTATAAGAAATGTGACACGTTTTTCCTAAAATACCATAATCATCTTTCTTAATACTTCATCTTCCTTTTCTATTTGATTATAGTTGAAGGAGGATTTATAGGGGTAATTTAAAGAAAATTAATAAATATGAGAAATGAGTCTTATATTTATGACCAAAACCAACTCAACAATTGGATCTTATATTAAGAACCAGAGGAGTACTTGTTAGAATCAAAACTTACGTACAAATAGAGGATTCATAGGAAAAGTTCAAATAAGTTATTTCTATACATTTGCATCTATTACCGTTGAACTTGTTGAGAGATCTATTATATTGTTACATAATTGAGTTTCTGTCTATGATACCATATATCTCCCGTTCTTTTATATAATGTATATATATTCTCTTGAACTCTAGCATAAGCTAGCTTGCATAGTAAAGAACCAGCCTTAATCAATCAATTTATGAAAAAGAAAAATCTATTTTTATCTTAATTGTATCATGACCAACCCAATCAAATATGATGCCGACCTTTCTAGCCGCTTGACTTGCCATTTCAAAAATATATTACTCTCTACGAAACAACATTGGCCTTTTACTTTGATCTTCAACATTCCCTGACGTGTCCAAAAAGTCAGATAAGATATGGTTACATCTTAAACCGGCCCCGCTAAGGAAACGCAGCTCCAATATGAGCATTTGGATTCTTTGACTCTAAATAAAGATGATAGCTCGGCATGCCCTGGAGATGCAGTATCAGCTATTAGATACGCACCTTATTTTCATCCTCCCTACACAAAATACAATAACTTAGCTTTCATTTCATCTCTCACTGTCCTCCTCATACTCGTAAGTGGAGTTCCCCTCAAGCATAAGGCTGTGATGTGGATGCTATGGGCATAACTCTCTCATTCTTGGTACCCACCTGCATTAATGGCCTCTATTTGATGAACCCAGGTGGTGAACTTTTTGACTCTGCTTGGAAATGGTGAGAGTATCACGTAGGATTTGGATTGGCTTCCTAGGTGTGGCTGTTCGGCTTATAACATGGTGCTTATTATTTGGCTAGGCAAGAAAAAGTAGTTGAAAAAAATTCAAGCTTCAGATTCATCCTAGCATCGGCAACGACAGCATATGACAACCGCCAGGCTTCTGAATTATGGATCTCTTCAGAATATGCTGTCAAAGTCTTGGGCCAAACATAAGAATTGTTTTTAGATTATTGTTACTTCAAGTTTGTCTTGTTACTTCTTTTCGCTAGTTCTCTATTATTCGCCTCACACATGGTAATAAATTAATTTGTTTACTGTTCTGTGATTGTGTTTTGCTTGAGTAGGGGTGTTAAACTCTGACATTTCCACAAGTTTTATTTTTCTTCCGATGTCGGTTTTGCAAGTGGAACTTGGTGATTGACTGGAATGCAGCATCAGAACTATTACATCATGAATAATGAAGTTTATTATCGATGCACAGTCTACATATATATATATATATAATGATAACGGCAAAAAATATATATATATAATGATAACTCTCCATTTTGAGCATTTTTACATGGTATTTTGAGTGATTTTTGGAGCGTTACTATTAGAATTTTGAGTGATATCTAAGAGTTAATTAAAGAAATTAATTTGGAGCATTAATTGGGGGATTATTTCATTGTAAATGTCTTAGTTTTAAAAGAAATAAAAGTAGTTAAAAGTAATTTTAGGAGTTAAGATTGTGTTAGCTTATCTTCTCTTCTCTTATTTCAGTTTATTTATTTTATTTTATTTTAGTCTATTTTCTTGATTTTTTTTCCTTTTATTTTTATTATGTTTTCTTCTTCTGCCTTGGCCGGATGCGCACCGTTTTGAGGAGTTCAGATTTGGGAAACTGAAGCCGTAAGTTCACTGCAGAGGCATTAGAGAGAACGACAGCGCTTTAGCAAACGGGAAGAGCGGAGGGTCATGGAGGGTTAAGAGCAAAAGAACCAGGTTCGATTAGAGAGGCGGCTTTTTTACTGTTCCTCGTCTTTCTTCTTTGGGGAACCAGAGACGCAGGCGAGCTAGCGAAAGAGAGGAAGAGATCTAGCTGCACAATGAGGCGACTGTTCATTCTCTTCTTCTCTGGACCAGGGGACGAGTTCACCGGACTGAGCCAGTGGATCGAGACCGACGGCGAGCACGCTGCTGTTCTTCCTAGCTTTCCTTCTCAGAGGAAGCTCGACAGAGTAGCTGAAGAGGAGGGAGATCAGGGGCTGGTTTCCGGCGAGAGAAGGGAGAGACTGCATTGTTTGGAGCTTTGAATATGTGTCACCGTTGAAAATGTAGCAGGCTAAAGTCCTTTTCAGTGGCAACATTAGGTCGTTGCTGAATACTTTTAGCGGCGACATGGTTATCAGACTTTGTTGCTGAAAGTCTTGTAGTGCCATCTTTCGTTATATGCAAGTTATCATTTTTGCGTGCAGATTAGTTTCTTGTATCTAAATAATGTTTCATACAAATCATCTTTCCTATATGCAATCTAACTTTTTTTATGTGCATCTTATCTTTTTTTGTATAACCCATCATTTCTAAGAACCATTTGTCAATTAATTTTCTAATAAGGGATTTGTCACCAATTTTTCCTTAATTAATCCTCAAATTATATAATGAAAATGATTTCTTAATTAAATGGTGGTTTCATGTGCATTAGATTATTAGAATTATCTCTTGATAGAAACCTCTTACAATCAATAACAATATTATGAAAAAAATTAATTAATTAATTAAAATATTATATTAAGAACCAAATTTAAGTTATAACTAGTTTTAATATTAAAGACTGACTTAATATTATTGTTGAGTAGTGTTGTGGGATCCAGTCATGCCGGGTTTACTAGCAGCCTTTTGAACCATGTGATTGCGTTAAAAAATAAAAAAGTAGGTAGAAAGAGGAATCAAAAGGACGGGAGAGATTAGGAAAATAGAAAGAGACAAAAGAAGAAGAAAAAAAAGATGCACATCCCTCCAAATATACATATGCTGATCATAGTAAGAGTCAATGTCTCAAGTCATATCATTTATTTTGAATATGATTGAGGTGTGGCCATCGTCTGAGTCATGTAAATGATGTAATACTAACGAGCTAGGACGCTGCTATCTATTTAGACTTTTGACAAAAGATCACTCTATGATCATTGATCAACACTTTTTTGAAACTACGTGGAAGATGATGTGAACTTGCATTGAACATTAGTTATATCCAAAAACCATGTTCCTTTCACGCAAGAAACACAGAAGACGACAAAGAAACTTGTTCCGTATTTGTGTGTGATGAGTGGGTGGGAGGGGAAAACGGGTGATTGATATTATGACAGTTCCGCCCCACTTTATCCTTTCCAGGGGCTGCTTCTCCGATGTGGCCGCAGGCCGCCATGGACGTCGCTTTCCAACACGTGGGTACGTAGGGATATTCTTTATAAAGGAATGGAAAACTAATTTTTGAGATCACTGACCAAAATATGAAACCCCAATTGTTCTCATGGAAGAATTAAATATTAGTTAGTTTTATTTGGTTAAAAAAAAAAGTAGCTAGTTATGTGTGTCTATATATAATGCGATTTGGTTTTATCAAGTTATCTCATTTAATCATTTGTACTACAAAATACTCCTTTTTTGATTCTCTTTATATTACTTTTAACATATTCTACACACAAAAAAAGTCATGGAAATACAATGAGACATAAGAATTATTAATTTCATCCCAACTTTTTCTACGACCGAATCTTTCAACTTTCTTCGACCAAATCTTTGTTGGGACCCGTTTTGGTGTGCAATACTGAAGGGTTGTTTCATAATCACTCGAACTAGGCCCAAGGTTTTGACGATTTCATGTGTCGTTTATGTTCAGCTCATCAATTTGGAATACAGATCAGTCAGCTTTAAATTTATAAATGCTCAACTTGGTCCTCCTCAAAGAAACTTCTTAAGATTTAACTGAATCTGAAATAACATCGAAGTTACCTTGAACAAACCTTGAAATGACTTGGAAGAGATGGCGATGTTGAAGATAGTGAGAATTCCTTACATAAATATCAGTCTAAAACAACTCGGAAATTTCTCAGAACTTGCATTTCACATCAATTATATATGCAGCCTATACTTTTTGAAAGAAGCAAGAAAGCCATTTGAAGTTTAAATTCTTCATTAACAGAGGCTTCTCAAGACTTCCCTTTTCTGGATCATCAAAATGTCCCAACAAGAAAGCGACCAAATAAGCATTCTTTATGAGGCATCAAAGAAAGGGGACGTATCAATGTTAAAATCATTGGTACGAGAAAACTCGCAAATCTTCCACAAAATTTCACTTTCTGACTTCGCTGAAACTCCTTTACACATATCGTCTTCTCTTGGCCACCGTGAATTCACAGAGCAACTTCTCACTCTCAATCGCAAACTAGCCACTGAGTTGGACTACTCCAATAGGACAGCCCTCCACTTGGCTTCTGCAGAGGGTCACATTGAAATTGTGAGGAAACTGGTAGAAACTGATAGTGATCCATGCTTGTACCCTGATGACAAAGGAAGAATTCCTTTGTACTATGCGGTGATGAGAGGGCGAGTAGAGGTTGTGAGAGAGTTGATCAGACTGAAGCCACAATCTCTGGATGTTCGTGACAAGGGGGAGACGATGTTCCATTTATGCATTAAGCACAATCGCCTCGAAACCTTGAAAGCCTTAGTAGAACTGGAGCTTCACACTACCGGCAACCTTCTCAACTTCAATGGTACTGATCGCGCTGAGAATACCATTCTCCATTCAGCTGTCATGCTGAAGCAAGTTGAGGTACTCTTTACTCTTTAGTAATTTGTAAAAGAATTAAAACTGCAAACTGGTTGGTTCTTGATCGGTGTTGGTGGTGTTTGAGAATCACAATTTACTACTCAATCATATTTAGATCCGCCACGCACAATATTCTGACATGTTCACTATTTTATCAATCAGACCGTAAGGTACCTCCTTTCAATACCTGAAGTAAGGCAAAAAGCAGCAGCAGGGTTGAAGAACAAGCTTGGTTTAACAGTCCATGATATTGTGGAGCTTGTTCCAGATGACTTCAAGACCCTCGAAATACGAGGCATGTTGAACGGAACTGAGCCCACAACCTCAACTCCTGGCATCAAAACTACTCATCAGCACAAGGGTTGGAGAAAGATTCTTGGGCTTGTGGTACACATATTAAGTGATAAGGACACTAAACGGCTAGAAAAGATGAGAGGGAATTTGAGCCTAGTGGCTACAATGATCGCAACTATAACCTTTCAAGCTTTGATTAACCCTCCTGGTGGTTTTGTTCAACAAGCTGTGGCTTCAGGTGAGGATCCCTTCGGTTGCTTATCAGATGAAAACAATTACGTACTAGCATGCCCTGGAAAAGCACTTTTAGCCGTTAAATCTAGTTCTGCTTTTCATCTTTACCAAAGGTACAATACCACATGTTTCATTGGATCTCTGTGTGTCACCCTCTTACTCGTAAGTGGAGTTCCTTTGAGGCATAAACCAGTGATATGGGCGTTATCTGTTGGCACGTGTATTACTCTCACATTCTTAACACTCACGTACCTTCAAGCCCTCTCCATGGTGAATCCAAATTTTTCGCTTCTCGACTCACCCACTAGAGTGATTTCCGGATCACTTTTGTTTTGGTTTGGGATGCTTGGGGTTGTTGCTGTGTTGTCCACATTGCGCTTCGCATTTTGGTATATCAGAAAGAGGAAGAAGCTCAACTGGCTGTTGCATAATATTTTGTCATGTCCGAGGAGCGGAATCCAAAATGCATGATGCTGCCAGTGAATTAGATGCCACATTTTGCCATGTCTCTTCTCCTCCCTCTGTGACGTCTTTCTTCTACTTCTCTCTGAAATTATATCTTCTGCTGTGTTATTTACTTCAGTATCTGATTTTCATTCAGACTTGTGTCAGATATGTTCTATGAATTTCAATGATTATGAGATCAGAGCTCAGTTATTCTGATACAAGGCATGTTTTCTAACTGTGCTCTGCAAGGATTTTTTTCCCCCACAAGCCGCCAGGTTCAATTATAGTCATTGTACTGTGAATTGTATGATTTGTAGATTTTAATTTATAGGTGATCTGATTGTGAATGAGTCTCCGTTCACTGGAAGACACAAAAATAATAACTTATTATAAATTTAATTGGTATTGTATTTTTTTTTTTTTTGGGGCAGAGGTATTGATATTGATATTGACGATATTGACTAATGTTCATAATAATGATGTAGTAACTAAATAATATTGATTTTTATTTTATTATAGTTACCAATTACGTAATAAAAAATTTATAGAGAGATGCAATATTTAAAAAACACCAATACCAAAATCAAGTCAGCATTTCTACTTTTTAGCAAAGGTCGGTTTCTAATTATAATGTTCACATACGCAACTATTCCATTGGTTAGATGAAGGCAACAAGTCCAAGTTGAAAATTCAACCATGTTAAATACTTCTCTTCTTTCAAGCCTCTTGTTTCTTATCAAAAGTGATTATATAAATAATTAAGACATGCATGGTTCCCTCAGTAGTCAGAACTCAAAAGTCATGAGACAAAGGGGAGATGCCTTTTTGATATACTTTGAAATTGTGGCACTTAAAGGAATAATAAGAGAGGAAGGAATGGAGACAGAGACCTAATATAACATGCAGATGTGGATGCAGTCACTTTATTTGTATGCACTTTTTCTTAAAACATCAAAAGTAGGATTGCAGGGGCTTTTCATATTTTCATTCCCACCTTTGTTATGCATTATCAAATCTACTTTTCAAAGTTTCATTGTCTCTATATTTCACGGAGTGGAAGAAATTACAAGTATTCTAAACTGGCATAAAGAGTCCATTTCTTATTTTTATGCATAAAACAAATCAATTTGTAACACCCCAAATTTTCTGACTCAGGATGAGCAGAAAAGAGAAAATTCATTAAAATTATTTAATGGCCAAATAAAATTGAAAAAAATTATGAAATATTGACTTTCAGGGTTTACAGATATTTTGGAAAGTTATTTCCCAAAAATGGCTTAAATAATTTTAATAGATAATTCTAAGAGAAAAATGATTTATTTTTCCTGAAAATTATGGAAAAATACTTGGAGATTTATATTTAATCTGAAAATTTTAGGATAATCATTTGAGATAGCAAAGAAGATAGTTGCGGCATTAAATCCTTAAAAGGAGTTAAGGATTAATTTCTGGAATTAAGGGCTATTTTCTTGGAAAATTCAAGGAAAATAGTTATGAGTTGATTTTTGACCCAACATTTTTATAGACATTATTTTATGGGTCAAAGAAGCTAATGGATAAGAAAAATCCATATAAGATATTTTGGTTTAATTTCTGGATATATTTTATATTTCAGAAAAATAGGAGTAGGATAAAATTTGAGGAATAAATATGATAGAGGGGCAAACTGGTCCAGGAATCTCCCGCAGCTCACACGTGTGCCTCGCCCTTTTAACCATCGGATCACTTATCCACCTCTTTCATTTCATTTCTGCATCGAAAACCAGAGGAAAAAATAGAGAGAGAGAAGAGAGAACGGTGGAGAAGCAGAGAAGAAGAAAGTACCGATCGGACGCCTGAAACTTGCATGCAATTTTGGTTTTTGACCGAGGTGAGCCTCATGAATCCCTTCGTGGTTTCATTTTCTTTATTGGGTGCTGTTCTTTGGGTGTGATTCCAGAGAGAGAATCTTGGTTATAGTGAGAGAAAGTGTGGGAAGGGAGAAGCTAAGCTATGATGTCGTGTTTAAGGATGACAATGGATGGTGTAATGGTGTTTTTTTGGGCTTGCATGTTTCTTTTTCCCTCTCTACTGTGAGAATGTGAAACAGGGGGTGTGAGTTTGGTTCATGTGTATCGGGTTACATGGTGCTATGAGAGAGAGGAATCCGGAATTCATATATATATATTACTTTGCATGTGAGTTTTCTGCTCTTGTTCATAATTTCCCAAACAGGGGACAAGCAATCTAATATAAGGCTTGGAAATTTCTCAGTTTGAACTTCAAGAGTTGGATTTCTGGAAGTGCATGTGATATTATATTTTATTTGTGTTGACCGAATCGGGAGTCCAATGAATCAAAAGAATGGAGTTGATTTTGGGTTATATATATATATATATATATATATATATGTTAGTAACCCGGTTCATAGGTATCGTTTCTGCTTGATGGAGTATTATTATTATGATGCTAGGCTTGAAATGATTGTCCTGGAATGAAGGCCGTGAGGTACATTGGAAATAGGTTGTGCGCAGTGGGGTTTAGTAGTAAATGCAAGAATGTGTGTGTGGGTGTGTGTGTAAGTGTCCGATTGGTTCAGTGATTTAAGAAGAAAAAGTTGCAGCATTAAATATTAATTAATACGGGAGAAAGGCGAAGCTAAGAGCTTAATATATATGTATACTTGGGAGAGTGTTTCAGTTAGTTGGAGTTTGGAGGAAATTAAAGTGGTTAATTTTCTTAAGAGCTTGTAAAGATGGTAGAAAATGCTTTTAAAATCTGGAAATATTTTCCAAATTTTGGGGTGATGTGTATAAGTTCTCTGTCTCTATTTTATGACTATCAAAACAGAGAGCTTGCCATTATATTAAGGGGGTTGAATTTGGGACATTAGAGGAAGGTGAAGGCATACACGCATATAGATGAGGTTACACTTGGAGATTGGAGTTCTAATGTTCTCTAGTATTGTTGTTCTGTGTTTGGCCGAAATCTAATGGAGTTTATATTGGTGCTTGAGAAGTTGAAGTAATCCAATAGAATAAATGAGATATAATATATATACATATATATATAGTCGCAGATTTGTCTTAACAAATTTATTATATATGTATATATGTATGTGTGAAGATGCCGTGAGGAGTGAGTTTGGAAGCTAAAATCAGATCGGAAGTGAAAAGTGATACACACACATGGCGGGAGGAAAGAAGGAAACTAGATTAATATATGCATGTGCTGTTTGGTTGCTGTTGTCCGTGAGGTTGATAATTGGGAAAGTTGGAATTTTCGAATTATTGAAGTTAAATAAGGATCTTAAAGGTATATGAATTGCTAATAATAACTAGAAAGGTTTGTAGATTTATTTTGGAGTGTTAGATTAAATTATTTGGTGGAATAAGGAAAAGTAAAGTAACACTATGGGTTGAGATAAGGAAGGAAGTGTTCCAAAGAGAATAGTTTGAATAAGAAAAATTATCCAAGATGACCAACTATTATGTAAGGGTAGAGATTAAAGAAGATTTGAGATTTAAAGAGAATTATTTAATTTATGAATTACAGTTGGATCAAATATTGATCTACCCTTACGAATATGATAGGTTTTTATATCTGCTCAAGCCCACCAAGAAGCAGAAAGAAAGGAGAATGGTAAGGTTTGATTTGGAGGGAAGCGGCCCAGGTAGTAGTTCTTTCCTACCTTACACTTGTGTATGATTGCTGCATGTCTGTTTGTGCCATATTGTTGTTTAAAGCATGAGAACATGTAATCTTTAATTCCTTGCATGGATTATTTAGCCGTGATCACGTGTAGCTGATAGACATGGGGCAGTATCTACCAAGTATTTGCGCATTATTTAATCAGCTTGTCTATCTGTCATTGCGCATAAATGCTTAAATGCATTAGCTTGCAAGGTTATATTCCATTTTGGCTTGTTTTGCATGCTTTATGTAATATGCACATTTGTTTGATGGAAATTACTACTACAGGGATTCTTTAGAATCTCACCCTCCCATTTATGATGAACAACGAAGACTAGTAGCTCAAAGAATAAGGAGGTTGTTAAGAAGAAGGTGAGTTGGTTGAAGAGCAGAGATGCCTGCTATATTTTGTACGTATAAAGTAGAATATCTTGATAAGTTAATATATGTACTACTATATATGTCATATGGGCAAGTAACTTTACTTGCTTTATATAAATATTATTTTGTATCCTTCACAAGGAGAGCACTGCTGGGTGAAAGTACGTGCTGTCAACAAAGATGGTTGCTATATTTTTTTAATATAATATTATGAGATTGCACAGTGTGAAATCATTCTAGGTGATTATAGATTAAGTTGAAAACAGGGTTAATTGTGGATCACTCTTCAATTATTCTAAAGGTTTGAAATTTTCTTGATCGACGAATTCCAACGTTGAAGGAAAGAAAAAAAAAATTCCCTGTCTTTTCCCAGGTCGGAAACCTGGCGTTAGTTATTCACAGACGTTAAAATGATCCTATATATTAGTATATAAAAGTTGGATGTTGCACAATTCATTAGACCAAGACACTAATCTTTAGGTTGAAAGTTCAACTATAGTAAACCATGAACAATGATCTTATGGCCTGACGCCATGCGAAGAAGAATATCTCCATTTAGGTTTTCCTCTACTTTTCTCTATTTACTATCTCTACCATTAGATTAATATCCAGTTGTTGAGATTTAATATACTACAACAATATTATGATAATATTAAATAATAATAAATATATATAAATAAATTTAACCTATATATAAATAAATACTATGATATTATTATAACCAGACGGAACAGGATAAAAAAATTGTATATAGTATATTATTCACGTGTATAAAATTTTAATAACACACACACATCTCACAATAACATATATATATATATGTATATTATTCACATACCCATACGCATACATGATTTAATCCACCTAAGTTGTTGTTATTTAAAAAATTCAATTAAATTCTTCCAAAAAGAACTGATAAAGACCCTATCACAATCAGACACAATAGACCGAGGGAACCCATGTAACTAAACACTAGTCTGAATAAAAACCCTTGCAACTTGCTAGCTAGTAAAGTTTGTCTTTAAAGGCATGAAATGAGCAAATTTAGTCAACCTATTAATCACCACGAAAATAATAGTGAAACCTTTAGTGATGGGCAACGAGGTGATGAAATCCATGACTATATCCTCCCATATATTACCGAGAATGGGCAAAGGAGCGAGAA